AAGGATCATATTTTTTATTTAACTAATTAAATTCAAGATGACCTCACACAATGACACGTCATGAAAAGCACATCTGGAGACATACGTATTTCGAATTGTCAAAGCGTCACCGACTCTTTGAATATGAAAAATAATGAGTCAAACCAATTTATTATAAGGATTTGAATGCAGAACCTATCTTTTAATTAACTTGTTCGAAGCTACCCAATCGGTTCATAATTCACTGGTTGAAGTAGACTTAAGTTCAATAGAAGTTATCAAAAGAAACCTGCAAATTCCACACAAACTCAAACATAGACTATATAACCACTCCATTAAATTATATTGATAAGCATCTTAAAATATATTTTTTTCCTCATAAAAATGACTAAATTTGATATAATATAAAATACAACGAAGAGAAATAAAAATAAATAATGTAAAGAAAAGTGTGAGAATAACATTACTTATGCTTATTTGATATGAAGGAAATTAACATTTACAAATACATATAATATAATGGTTGTAAAACATTGTTTGCGCGTGGTATTGATCTTAATCATCATTCACACTCATTTGGAGTCATCATTTTTAGGGACAATAATATTGTCTTCTGGGCAAGAAACCCTCCTTGTATGTGATAAAATGATGGAGGTTGTATTTAAGGAATACCTAAAAAAAAAAAAAAAACTTAGAGATACATAATTCTTAAAAATGGGTAAAAAGGAAAAACATAAAATAAAATAGAGTTATGTAATAGTTAAAATAACTAGATTAACACATTTAAAGTATCCTAATTTAAAAATATAGAATTAACAAATTAGAAATTACTTAAATTAACCTTTTATAACATAAAATAAAAAAGTTGTAAATTTTTAAATAAATCTAAAATTATCCACCTATTACAATTTAAGTATTCCTAATGAAATTAAAAAGAATTAATAAGGCATGTCACCTAAGTTAATCATTTAATCTTGAAAAAAAAATACATGCATAACACTAGTAACAAAGGGAAAGAAAAAAGAAATGACAACACAATTGGCCTACTTCGTATCATTCATTTCAATTTTTTGGCTTTTGTGTACCTTTCCTAATTTATGGGTCCATATAACACTGTTTTTAGACGTTGCAGCTCTCTATCAAACACCCTTCTACAGTTTTTCTCTCTCTTAAAAATGAAAATTTCAATTTATTTATCAAAACAAGAATATGATAAATTTATGCTTTACTTTTGAAAAAGACGGTATTCATTTCATTATATAGATTTGTGTTCTTTCCTCACTGTTTCCACACATTGATTGCATTCCTCTTCATCATCCTCTTTCACTCATGGCTAAGTTTGAGTCAGTGCCATTTGCTGTTGCATCATTTTTGGAGCCATCATTTTTAGGAACAATAACATTGTGTTCTGTTGTGTTGTGTTGACCTTAATCACCATTCACACTTATTTGGAGCCATCATTTTTAGGAACAATATACATTGTCTTCTGAGCCAGAAACCCTCCTTGTATGTTGTAACACCCAGAATTTGGTAATAATAATTTGATTGTTAATATGAGTATGTGTATTGTTAATTGAATGTGCAACTTGATTTATGTTGATAATTTGGATGTGTGTATATAAATAAATATATGTGAGTGTTGACTTAGATTGGTTAAAGTTGATTGAAAATACAGGATGAGGGTAAACTGTAGGGCATTCTCGCTGTAGCGAGAAGGTCCTGGGAAAGGGATGTCCATCTGTTGCACTCTTACTATAGCCAAAAACTTGTCGCTATAGCGAGAGGACAACAGAGAATGGGTGTTTTTTGGGTGCAGTCTCGCTATAGTGATAGGGTCTTACTGTAGTGAGAATATGCAGAAAGTAGGTTGCAGTTTTGTCTGGTGTTTTCGCTGTAGCGAGAGAGGTTTCGCTGTAGAGATAATATCACAACACTTTGTATATTTAAGGAGTTTAGGATTGGAGAAATCGTGTTTCCTACTTTCCTTTCATTCTCTCTCTCGATTCTCTCAATCCCTAACATTTTTCACCGATTGAATTGCCCCCAGAGCCGTTTGTGCCCTAAATTGAAGGTTGAAATCATTTTTGGGATGTTTGGAGGTAAGTATTGTGAGTTAGAGTTTTCAATTTTTACTCTTTCTTCATTCTTTTTGATTTCTCATGGATTATTCCATGTATTTAGGGCGAGAATCTGTGTAGGGAGCATTTCTACTGTTTACTTCATGGTGGGTCTTCATTCCACGGTAAGGGGAGTTAATCCCAAACTCTAACCTCTCTTGGGTAGTTTAGAATGGGAAACCCTTAACCACTTTAATAACTATTTAAATGTAACATGTGATAAAGGCTCTAAATAAAATTGTCCTTAAGGAATACTATGATTTTATCGAGCAAACGTTGTTTGGGAGTAGTTGGGATGTGCTATTTGATTTTTTGCAATAGTGGACTTATTATTAATAACGGATGATGCCAAATCTTAGGATAGACGACCCTATTACTATTACTAAGACAATGTGGGTGATGAATTGTACGATTGGATTGAGCCCGGGGGTGTTCAACCTCCGACATATTGTATTAATTATGTGATGTGTGAAATGGTTGATGATTTTCTTTGTTGGATGAATGTTTGTTGATGATTGAGGCATGTTGAGATCGGTTGATAATATTCTTGTGAGGAATGATATATGTATTATGGATGTTGTTTGATAGTTGAGGTATGTCAAATGAGTAAAACTATGTTATTGATGTAAGTGTTTGACTGTTCTTAAATAAAGAAAGAGTTTTCTGTGTGATGTGACATGATGGTGGAATTATGAGAAAAGTGATTATAATACAGGAGTTAGAATAGATGAATGAATGTGATTGTAATATAGGTATTGTGGTACGACCAACGGGTGTACTTATAATATATGTATTGTAATACACCAAGTTATGTGGTTAGGACTCACGTATTATGAGACGTTGCCTTGTAAAAAGGGTGTGAAAAAGAATGAAAAATGTTGGTGGTGAGTTTAGATAGCTAGAGAGATACACTAAGGTATAGAGTGTTGAGAAGATTTGAGAAATCTTGAAGAAAAATGGGAGTGGTGAATGCTAAGTGTGAATAAGTGCATAATGATTTGCTGAAAGTAAAAGCATTCACAGGTCACACACCCTCATTTCCTGACGAGACTCCTGACTATACCTTTACTAGGGGGCCGGTGAGGCACACATGTATCCGTGTTGTTGCAGCTAACCAGCGACTATTTATGCTGTGAAGTCCTTGAGGGATCCGAGGGGCATTGAATAGGAAAGTGAATAAATGTGAATGTGTTGTATATAAAATAGTATAAAAATGGTATGATCATAATATATGCATTGTAACATATCGGTTGATGTTGTTATGATATATATGTTGTAATACATCGACGGATGCAATTAGGACATATGTATTGTGACATATTGATTGATGTGGTATAATGTATGTATTATGACGTGAAGATTAGTAGAAAAATGCATGTTATGAAAATGGTAAATATGATTGATTGAAAATAATTAAAAGAAACTTTTCAGAAGAAAAAATAGTTTATCATAGCAAAAGTATTTATTTACATATGAAATATTTTTTAAAAAATTCATATAATAAATATATTTGTAAAGTTATGAATATCATATTATTAAAATATGATATCAAATTATATTAATATAAATATTAACTTATTGTTTTAATTTATTAGGTTTTAATATGTTATTTAGTTTTTGATTTTTTTTATTTTAGTCTCAACTTTTATTGTTTTAGTCCTTTATTTTTTTAAATTTAACATTTTTGTCGTATATAGACAACTATAGTGGGCTCATGTAATAAAATTAGTTGTATACTTTGTTGGCTGAAAATATAGATAATTTAACAATTTATTATATTTATAAGTAAAAAGTTTTATGTTTGGACATGAGTAAAAAGTTATTTTAAAATAATTTGTTCTGTTTAGATATGAGTAAAAATTTGTAAAATTACTCTTTACACTTTCAAAATTTGTTATTTTTTATTTTTATAGAATTGTATTAATAGTTATTTTTGTCTTTTTTATACAAATCTCATACATATCTCGTATTTCAGTGATAATTTTAAGAATAAAAATTTTGATATGCACTAAAGTAGTTTTAATTTATAATAAAAAAATAATTTTTGAATTAACAATTACGTTAAGTATCATGTAATCTTTCATTTTTTTTTCATCTATACTGATACTTTTAATTCATCATAAAAATTAACTTTTATATTAATAAATTATTTAATATCTTTCCATATCCTCCTACACATGGGTAGCATCTACGAAGCATAATATTTGTAAAATTTACATAAGTCATTTTAACTTTATTTACGCAAAATTTAAAAAGAAATAAAATTTACTATCTTAATATCGCAACAGAGTCATAAATTTAGTGCATCTGATACAAGATACAGTAAAATAAATAATACATTGAATGCGAACAATCAGCCGCCTAAATCGAGAAATAGAGACTGAGAGAAGCTTTGAGAAAAATTATTTTAATTTTAATTTTTAAAAAATGAATCTATATCTGTGAAGATAGATGTTGTAGGTCCAAAAGACAGAAAACAACAGAGTATGATTTATAGTTATTTTACTCTTGAAATGTTGGTGAAAGTTGAAAAACAGTGCGTAAAGATTGGTACAATGTGCCTACTTTGTATCATTCATTTCAATTTCTTGGCTTTTGTGTACCTTTCCTAATTTATGGGTCCATATAACACTGTTTTTAGACGTTGCAGCTCTCTATCAAACACCCTTCTACAGTTTCTCTCTTCCTCTCTCTTAAAACTGAAAATTTCAATTAATTTATCAAAAACAATAATATGTTAAAGTTATGCTTTACTTTTGAAAAAGGGTAAACAACGAGTGCCTTACTTTACGGTATTCATTTCATTATATAGATTTGCGCTCTTTCATCACTGTTTCTACAAGTTGATTGCATTCCTCTCTTTCAATATCAGTATCAACCCTTCTTCATCGTTCTCTTACACTCATGGCTAAGTTTGAGTCAGTGCCGTTTGCTGTTGCATCAAATCTTATTCACAGGCTAGCTTCCCCAGATTTTCTTGAATTTGGACAGCAGTATGGTGTGATGGAAGAGTTGGAAGCGCTTAAGAAGACAATTGGATCTATCAATGATGTGCTCCTTGATGCTGACCACAAACAAGATCAAGTTCGCGTGCGTAATTGGATATCTGACTTCAAAGAAGTAGTTCATACCGCAGATAACTTCTTAGATCACCTTGCTATCGAATTTATGAGAGACAAAATGGATGCAGCAGAAGGAAAAGAAGTAAACAAGGTACTTCGTAACATTTCATCTTCAAATCAATTTCCTTTATACAGTGAAATGCCTGACAAATTTAAAGAAATACGAGAAAGTTTTAAAGATGTAGTAAAAGAAATGAAGGATTTGAATTTAAGTCCAAGATCTGGGGTGGTCAAGAAAACTAACACTGAATGGAGGGAAACATGTTCTTTTGTGTTAGAATCTGATATCATTGGAAGAGATGATAGTAGAAAGGAGATTATTAGTCTGTTGAGACAACCTCATGAGAACCAAAAAGTTCCTGTAATTGCCATTGTTGGCCTTGGTGGCTTGGGGAAGACAACTCTTGCTCAATTGGTGTATAATGACTTGGAAGTGCAGAATTTGTTTGAAATGAAAATTTGGGTATGTGTCTCTGATTACTTTGACGTGAAAACTATTCTTAAGAAAATATTAGAATCAATTACAGGTGACCAAATTGAAGTATCATTGGGCACCTTGCAAAGAAAACTTCATGAAAGAATAGGAGGTAGGAAATATTTGTTGGTCCTGGATGACATTTGGAATGAGAGACATGACAAATGGGCTGAATTGAGAAAGTACCTGATGTGTGGCGCTCAAGATAGTAAGATCTTAGTGACCACTCGAAGTGAAAATGTAGCAAAGGCAATGACTGCTAGCACTTCCTATCCTTTGAAAGGTTTGACTGATGAAGCATCTTGGAATTTGTTGAAGAGCATTGCATTTGAGGATGATTCCAAAGGAGTGAATCAAAATCTAGAATCAATAGGGAAAGAAATAGCCAAAAAATGTAAAGGGGTTCCACTGGCAGTTAAAACGCTGGGAGGCCTGTTGCGAGGACAAAACGAAGAAAGTGAATGGGAGAATGTTTTACTTGGTGACTTCTGGAAATTATGTGAAGAGCAAGATAGTATCATGCCAATTCTAGAACTCAGTTACCGCAACTTGTCGCCAGAAATGAGACAATGTTTTGCTTATTGCTCTTTGTACCCCAAGGATTCAAAAATTCCAAAAGATGAGTTGATTCAGTTATGGATGGCACAGGGTTACCTTCAATGTTCAACTGAAAAACAGCACATGGAGGATGTCGGTAATCAATTTGTAAAGATGTTTTTGATGAACTCAGTTTTTCAAGATGCAGACACTGACAAAAACGGTGAGATCGTTAGTTTCAAAATGCACGATTTAATGCACGATCTTGCAATGCTAGTAGCTGGCAGTGATTATTGTTACTTGGATAGTAAGGCAGAAAAAGTTGAAGGTAGACCCATGCACGTGTCATTGGAATCCAATGAGACCATTCATTTGTTGAAATCGTTAGATCCGAGCAGGCTGCGAACTTTGATTTTGCCGTATGACTTGGAAGAGAATGAGGAGCCGGATGACTTCAAAGAGGAGGAATATTTGTCGGTTATTGCAGAGTTCAAATATTTACGTGTTTTGAGGATGCATCAGCTCTCTGATTCCACGGAAAATTGGAAGCATTTAAGATACCTCGCTTTAACGCAACAAATAAGTCTTCCCAAATCTATGAGCAATCTTGTTTTTCTGCAAACGTTGAAATTGGAGAAGTACCATGAAGAATCATTCTCAGAAGTAGTCACAAAATTAGTCAATTTGAGGTGCCTTGATATTGCTAATTATAAATTCATCAATGGGATGGCAGTTGGGTTGGGAAAATTATCCTCATTGCAATTCCTATCGACCTTTGTTGTGGGAGACAGCCAAGAAATAAAGTATGCCACATTAAATGAACTGAAGAACTTAAACCTCAGAGGCAGATTAAAAATTAAGCATCTCAATCGTGTCAGAGAAGTGGCTCTGGAATCACAGCACGTAAATTTAAAAGAAAAAAAATTCCTTCGTTACTTGATTCTGGATTGGTCGCGTGAAGACCTCCGTAACACTGACAACTTGCAATTATTGGAAAACCTTGAGCCCCACCGTAATCTTAAGCAATTGAAGGTCTATTATTATCCAGGCGTGCTTTTCCCAAATTGGCTTTCTCTCCTCACAAATGTTGTTGACATTCGTCTCTATGAGCTTCGTAAATGCTGCTATCTCCCACCGTTGGAACATCTCCCGTCCCTGAAGTCACTGGTGATGAAGTATCTTGATGAATTGGAATACATATATCTCTACGAAGATGGTTTTACAGTAACCTTCTTCCCCTCTTTGGAGATCCTCACATTATGGGGTTGTCCCAAGCTCAAGGGATGGCGGAGGCGGGGAGATGATATCAATGATTCACATCATCTCTCCTTACCTCTTTCATTTCCTCATCTTTCTCAACTACACATCTCTGGCAGTCCACATTTGACCTGCATGCCTACTTTTCCAAACGTTGAGAATTTGGAATTGGAACAATGCAGTGCAGAACCATTAATAGCAACACTAAACTCAACATGTTCAGCTGACTCATCTTCCTCCGCTGCTCCTCTTTCCATGCTCAAATACATGTACATTTCTGATCCTATGAATTTACCAAAGGGTTGGATGCAAAATCTGACTTCTCTCGAGTCTCTTGGTGTTGGAGGTGGAAGTGAAACACTTGAGGAATTTGAAACTGGATTTGCAGCCTCTCATCGATTCAACACATCAACATCCGGCTTTGCCCAGAATTGGCATTGCTGCCCGAAGGAATGAGCGATCTTACCAACTTAAAGATCTTTCAGGTCATCAAGTGTCCCCTCCTACTTAAAGAATGCGGAAGAGAGACAAGTGCTGTTAGTCGCCAAATCGCATACATCCCACAAATTATCCTTCGCCATTAGTGATGATAAAGGTACTGATCTGTTTCTGATGCATTTATCTAGGGTAAACGTCGTGTACTGTATTGCTTTGCTAATAAAATACTTTTATCTAGTTTTTGTGTTAGTGTTCATTTGTTTTAAATATAAATACAAATTATCTTAATTAATCATATTAATTTTCAATTGTTAAACATTATCCGAGTCTTAGCCGTTAATATATTTAATGCTGATAAGTTTTTTTTCCTTTGTACCGATATTATTGCAAAAATATATTTTTTAATTTAAAATTTAAATATTATATAATTTAATAATTTTATAAATAAATATTTTATTATATTAATAAAATTAAATTAAAGAAAGATAATTATAAAATTTGCATTAGAAATTTAATTTAATTATGATGTAAGATAATAAATTTTGTTATTTTATTAATTGATTTATTTTACATGCTCAGGTTTTGTTTATCATAATTTTCATCACACAATTTTAAATATATTTGTTAAAATAATGTACACTTATAGTAAAAAAATAATAATAATACACGCTAACGAAATTTTTCTTTCTTTATTGCTTTTGTTGAAGTAAGTTATCAAAAATAGTCTAATGATTCAATTGGTTAGAAATACTTAAGCTGATAAAGCAATTTCGTTGAATTCTTCTGTTTGAGTATATCTATTAAGGTTTGTTATGACATTATCTTTGGCCATAATGATGATGGCAAGATCTTCGCAGCGGAAGTAATAAGAACCTAAGTTCTTTTTTAAATTGACTTGGTGCTTGCTCAATGCAAGTTGAATTGTGTCTTAGGCTCATATTTTCAAAATACTACGATTTTATAGTTTTTTTAGATAATAAATAGAAGAAATTTGTGAGGATATTATTTAATTTCTTTTGCAAAGTAGTAAGATATTTGTTTGATCGGTAATTGTTTTAATTCATATGTTCAATATGTATGGGCAATGTTGTCTAACATGCACCTAGCATTGATGTTTTTAGTCTTACTATGTATCATTGTATACTTTACATTAAATTTGATCTATGATTGTAATTCTCCACCAGAAGATGTCCATTGCTATTCTCACAAGTTTTTAATGTTTTAACTTGTTATTCTTTCTAGAATTACTTTTTATCTTTTTGCAATTTTGAGTTAGTCTTCTATTATTCTCTATATGAGAATAAATTTAGTGTTTTATACGATACACTATCAATCAATTAATGTGATTAAGTATTACTTGAATAGGAAAACGATTGGTATTTATCATAGGACATTGTTCTCCAACTATGCTTATATTGAAATCCATTCAAAATGCTTAACATTTCAAATCACCTATCCTTTATCTATATATATATTTTTATTAACAATAACTATTTTGACTTGAAAGCAAATAATTTTTACTTAATTCTCTTCATTTTAATTTCTTATAAAACAATCAACCGACATACCATCTCTTGCTAATACTTAGAAAATATATGAACTCATTTAAATATATAATATTTATAAAAATGTTAATATTTTGAGACTATTTTTTGAAAATATTCATATTAGACATTATAATTTAACATTCTTAATTTAAAATTTACGGAAAACTTAAAATAATTCCCTTATCAATAAAAAAAAATTATGAAAATGAGTATAACTGCCTTAACACATCTACGATTAATGAAATTTTTAATATATTTTTTTCCTTTGGTGACAGATTATGATGATGTAGTTTTTAATGTTGTCAAATAAAAGATTGTGACAGTAGGACAGAGGTTGTAACAGGAAAACTGCATTTACATTAATCACAAAGCATATATAAAGGATCAAATGGTATGTACCTGCTCACACTGATATATTTGCACATCAACCTGCATCTTTTTCAATTGATGTTAAGTTTTATGCATCCAAGATTTAAGTGATGCAAATCTTTGTCTCAGGGCACAAAGCTACCATCATTCATCAACCCTGGCTAAACCTTCAATTATCTTCTGCTGACACTGATATATGGTATAAAACCTCTGTGTCATCTCATTGCAACCTTTCTGGCCAAAACATACTCAGGTTTCTCCAAGAACCCTTCAATCACCAACTCGTAGCTCTCAAATCCAACAGAGTTACAATGCCATAACTGTTTGAATCGGGAATACATTCTGCCCCACACCATGCCCCTTAGACTTTAACTGCCTCCACTAATAAATCAACAGCACATAGAGATGATAGTGGATAATTACAAGTCTCAGAATGAGAGACATTGCCGATCCAACCAAGCAGATGAGAGGAGAATAAACATATAATTTATTTCATACATTACAATACAAATTATATGACTAGAATCAACACAGCTCTCACCAGAACATGCACATTGAAATGAATTAGCCAAATGTAATATCAAACAACAGTCAATCTTGTAATTAGGGGAGTTGTCAGGTCAAGTAAGGTTCAGTAGAAAAATATGTCCAAACTAATGAAAAATAATTGGTATGGATTGCCTCAGTTTCTTTTTTTTTTTTTTATGACAATTTGAACCGTACCAACCTAACCATTTTCTGATAGGTTCAGGTTGGGTCATTGGGTTAATTTATTAAAAAATAATAAATTAGAAAAATAGAAAAAATAAAAACAAGAAAAATAAGAAAACCACACTAACAGCACTTTCATTTTCCCTCTTCCAATGGACACAGGATTTGCTATATTTACCCATGACACTAAAGAATTTTCGTTATATTCAGACATAGATACCAGGGCCGTTATTTACCTTTTTTAGACCCTAGACAAAATAAAAAATTAGAGCCCTTTAAAAAAATTATAAAATATAATAAATAAAATAAAAGCATATTTTAATAATTTTATTAAAATAATATATTTTTTTAAGTGGCTATAATTTTTCTAATAAAATTATAAAAAATATTTTTTATTCAAACAACTTCTATGTTATAATTAACTATAAAAATACAAAAAATCATAAAAAAATGGGTTCTACAAATATTTTGAGATGCAAAATCATTAATGATAACATTAACATTAATATTTTTTAAAAATTCTTTATTGATTGATAAAATTGTGAGACTATTCAAGGGTTCTTCTGACATTGATGACTTTAGGTAGGTTTTGATTAACTTTAACTCTAAAATTTTTTTTTCAGTTGATGATATAATCTCCGAGACCGTAAAATAAATTCTATAAGTGATTAAAATATTTAGATAACAATCTGCAGATTTGACAAACTCAATAATTGTTTAATTTTTTGGAGAAAATTAAAATTCTTTATGAGCATTAATGTTAAGAATAGTAAAATTTTAGAATTAAATAAAGTTTTAAGTTTACAAAAGTCAATGAGTCAAACGTCTATAACAAGTGAGATGCAAAGAATTAAAAGATCTTTTTTATTTTTTCTATTTTTTTAACTACAAATTATAAGAGCCATTCAAATCAAGTTCCTTCACAAAAATCATTCAAATGCAAATGTAAGTTCACCAATTCTTGGCAAGCCAAAAACCATTTCTTTTTTACTGAGAAGCTTCAAGCCATTCAAATGCAAATGCCCATAACGTAAATGCCACAAATTAGCCTCATTATCCCTCCTAACAATTAAGGCCTTATTCATTATATTTGAAACATCAAGAGGAAACATCTTGTTTTGAGTCATATGAACAGTATCTATGATTTGACTAGATTTTTTATCACGAATAACACATGAATCACCATCAAACACAACAGAATATCCACTAGTCATTAATTGTCCAATACTCAGTAAGTTATGAGCTAAATTAGGCACAAACTGTACATTAAAAAGAAGTTTGACACTCCCTTGCATAGTTTTAATGGCAATTGTACCTTTTCCTTCAACCTTCATTTGCTTGTTGTCTCCAAGTCGAACTTCACTTTTCTGTGATTCGTCAAGCTCTTTGAATAGTGATTTGTTTCCAGACATGTGGTTGGAGCATCCACTGTCTAAAAACCATACATCTTCGTTGTTGCTGTCATACTGAATTGGATAATGGGCCATGAACAACTTGTTTTCCTCTTCTACATTATTTGTAAAATTTGCCTGTTTCTGCTCTTCTCTCTGTTTGGCCCAACAATCAACTTCTTTGTGTCCCATTTTGGTACAATACCTGCATTGGATTGAGCTTTTGTATAGGCAAGATTCACCATATTGCCCTCTACCTCTGCCATATTGGTCTCTGCGACTGCTTCCATGAAATTGACCCCTGCCTTTGGAGGATTCTTCCTTCACTTGAAAAGCCTTTTCCTTAGATTTTTCATGAGACCTGCCAATTTTGGCTTCATGGGCTATCAAAGAACTCATCAATTCATCAAGTGGACAGGTCCTTAGTTTCTTCAATTGCAGCAACAACATGATCAAATTTTGACGTTAAGCTTCTTAACACCTTGCTCACAACAATTTCATTACTCAAAATTTCACCATAAGACCTCATTTGATTAACAATCCCAGACACCCTAGACAAGAATTCTTGCACTGATTCTTTGTCTTTCATAGCTAAAGTTTCAAAATCACGACGAAGAGTTTGTAATTTTATAGTAATTATCTTCTTGTCGCCCAAATATTCCTGCTTCAAAATCTCCCATGCATGTTTGGAGGTGTTAGCTGCTGAAATTCGGATGAATATGTCATCCTCAAGGGCTAACTGAATTAGCATTAGTGCTTTTGCATCCTTCTTACGATTTTCTTTTAATCGTTGATCAGGTTCTGCTGGTGTCGGATCTGGCTCTTCATACCCGTTTTCCACCAACTCCCATAGTTCTTGAGACTTGAACATCGTCTTCATTTTAAGGCTCCAAAGATGATATTTTTCACCTTTGAAAATTGGAATTAGGGGCTGTGCTACTGGGTTGGTTCCGTTACTGGCCATGACTCTTTCAATTTGGATAATTTTCGTTAGTGGTTC